GCGCTCAGACCACACGAATACAGTTTAATCGCCATGGAGCCAAAGTCTTTACAGTCAGTTTCATACGAATGGGCTCCATGGGATTCCTATCTGGGTATAACACATTCAACCAAAACTATTGAACCAGGCAGAAAAAGCACAAATACAGCTTTTCGCAGGCAAAAATAAAGTTCGCAAATATAGTCCAAAAGTGCAGCAGGCGAAAGCAACTAGTATCTCCAATGTGGCTAGATTGGTCTCACACAGAATCTATTTAGCAGTTTTTTTCATTCGCTTTTGTAGATGAGTAAAGATTTTTCAAGTAAAAGTCAAAAAACATGTATTTTTTTCAATTTTTCATCAGATTTTTGTATTTTTTTTAAATTAAAATACATGAGATTATATAAATAATGGTATGTAAAGAAAGCCCCTTTTGTCCTGAAAAAAACAATATATAATTTGTATGGGAACAGTAAATGAGAAAGCGGAAAATTACAGCCAAACACAAACACCACAAAAGTGTAAAAATATGCCTGGTCGCAAATGTACAACATCGCAAAAACAGTCCAGTCCTTAAGGGGTTAATGTGTATAGATTGTGTCCAGCAGTCTCACTGCTCAATTCTCTGCCATTTAGGAGTTAAATCACTTTTGTTTATGCAGTCCTAGCCACATCTGCCCTGGCTGTGACTCACACAGCCTGCATAAAAGTTTTTTTAGTTTTTTTTGTTTTCAATCAGATGTTAACTTGCTTATGAAGTTTTTATTTCCTGCTCTGTGAATTGAACTTTAATCAAACACCTAACAGGGTATTAACAGATCAGGAGATAATAAATTATTAATTAAACAGACTGTGCAATAAAGTAACTTAAAATGTCTAGGTTCCTGTTTAGGAAGGCTGTGCAAGTCACATGCATGGAGGTGTGACTAGAGCTGTATAAACAACATGATATAATTCCTAAATGGTAGAGAATTGAGCAGTGAGACTGCAGGGGAATGATCTATACACCAAAACTGCTTCATTAAGATAAAGTTGTTTTGGTGCCCATAGTGTCCCTTATGTCTGCTGTAGTTATATAAACAGTAAGGCGATAATATAAAGGATTAAATTAGTAAAAGTCAAAAAGAAAATGTCAGTTTATTGTCTGTTATCTAACTTCTGTGAATCCACACTGTCAAGTTCCTAGTTGTAATATAAATTTTACTCCTGGATCCCTGAGGGTTACTTCAGCCCTTAAACAAACTATTTTAATTATAGTTTACAATTCCCTACAGAGCATTAATATTAGGTCCTCATCCCCTGAAACCCTATTAAAAGCTTGTAAACTGTCTCATACCCAGTCCTGATGTCACCCAACCCTTGCATGGCTCTATCGCAGGCTTCTCATATAGAAACCTGTAACTGGATCATTTTGCCAACTCAGAGCACATGTTGGAACCGGAGTCAGAGAGAGGGAAGGTGGGATTGAGATCTTAAAAATAGAAAAAAAAAACCATTTAATTAAAGGACCACTCTAGGCACCCAGACCACTTCAGCTTTATGAAGTGGTCTGGGTGCCAGGTACCTCTAGGATTAACCCCTTTTTTTTATAAATATAGCAGTTTCAGAGATACTGAGGGTTAATCCAGCCTCTAGTGGCTGTCTCATTGACAGCCGCTAGAGGCGCTTGCGTGCTTCTCACTGTGAAAATCACAGTGAGAGCACGCAAGCGTCCATAGGAAAGCATTGCAAACGCTTTCCTATGCGACCGGCTGAATGCGCGCGCGGCTCCTGCTGCGCATGCGCATTCAGCCGATGACGTCGCGAGCAAGGAGGAGAGGAGGAGTACAGCTCACCGCCCGGCGCTGGAGAAAGGTAAGTGTTTAACACCTTCCTCTCCCCAGAGCCGGGTGGGAGGGGGACCCTGAGGGTGGGGGTACCCTCAGGGCCCTATAGTGCCAGGAAAACTAGTGTTTTCCTGGCACTATAGTGGTCCTTTAAGATGAGGGCAGAAGCACAAAGTGGATGGGTGGGTTATGAGCGCTATCAAACTCTTGCAGGCATTTTTCCTACAAGGGAGAATACTTTTAAGTCTCCTGTCTGCTAGAATGAATTGACTTTAGGTACCACAGCATTCTGGGCTGCCTGTGTCATGTGAGATGGGGGTGCAACTAGCTCCCAGCACACAATTAAAAATAAGAAAAACTGCATGTACAGATACAAATAACTGCAGTGACCATGGTGGTTGGAGAAACCCTTGAATTTGTAGCCCCACCTGATGCCCAGTTACAAGGTTCCTCTGGTGCCAGGTTCCTCCTGTTATTAGTGACTGGGCAGCAAATGCTTTTATGACAGCAAGCACTCAGTGCCTGCTTACGGTTTAGTGAACATTCCCAACTGATGGCATGGTGTGTGGAAGCATTGGGGGAGGTTTTAAATCTCCTTTATACCAATGTGGGTGTCATATTGACCCCTCATATGCATTTTTTTACTATTTACTTGCCAGCAGGCAAATAGTAAATAAAAAGATTTATCAACAGCGTATAAAGCTGTTAGTTCTTAAAGCTAATAGGCCCATTTAATGGGCGGTATGCATCCCAGAATTGTAGTTAAGGCACCAAAGCCTTATTAGAATGTAAATTATAAGCTTTGGATTTGATGGCTTATAGAGAGCAGAAAAACTGTCGATACACATGATCGGCTTATAAGTAATCAAGAGTCAGGCTTCGTGAGATGTCATGAGTGTCTAGGTCCTGGGGAGATAGCGCAGCTAAGCGGACAATGGGACATGTATGTGTGTGGGGATGGATGCTTGTGATTGGTTGTATGTGTATATGGGAGTGGTTAGGTGTTTGGGAGTGGTGTAGGGATCATCTTAGCTCAGTGCCTCTTGGGAGACGAGCCAGCAAACAACTTACTCTTACTCTGTTGCTACTTTCTGCTTGAGGATGGATGTGAACTCAATCCTGTCTGCCCTCAGAGCTGCAGCTGCCCTGGATGATGGCAGGCACCTTCATGAGCAATTTGCTCACCTCCAGCCTGGTTTGACCGCTGGTGTGGTCACCCCCTGCAGCCAGGCCTCTGCTGGGGCCTCCCATGCGGCTACAGCCCATGCAAGGGCCGACGCTCTTGCCCGCCTGGATCCGGATAAGGCACCTCAGTCCCGTTATAGGAGCCGGAGCCCGGGCCCTAGGCATCACCAGACCCCTGTGTCTGCCCCATCCAACACGAGGCCTGCTCCCCCAGTGGTTTCTCGCTCACCCCCCGGCAATGGACAGTGAGCCGGGACCTGTGACCAGGCCTGCAGTAGTGAGTGGGCCCCACGGGGCATGGCTGTGCCGCTGTGGAGGGGGCCTCCCCAGGCTATGTTATGTCCTCTGGGGGGGTCCCCCTCTCCTCTCCCATGCTTCTGTCCGTCGTTCCCCTGTCTCATCCCCCCCCTTTTGTGTCCCCCCCCTTTCCTCTCTTGTGGGGCCCCTCTGTTTCCACCCCTGCTTCTCTGGTTCTGTTTCCTCCATTTTTGTGTTCCCCTCTTTCCTCTGCCCTCTCTCTACACCATTCTGCCCCCCTCCCTCCTGTTCCCTCTGTGTCCCCTCTGGTTACCCCCCTTCCCTCTGACTCCCTTTCTGGCCCCCTCTCTCTCCTGCCTTCTCCTGTCCTCTCTGTGTCCCCTGCTAGTCCCTCTGCCCCCCCTTTATCCCTTGGCTACTTACCTCGGCTGCCCTCCTCTTACCTCCTCTCCGCTGCTCTGCTCACAGGAACTGGCTGCTGTTCCTGGGACTGCCCAGCAGGTGGCGTCTGGAACTCCTGCAAGACTGAATAGTGGTGAAACTGGACTTACCTCAATCCTGCCAGGTTCATTGTTTCCTTTGCAGCGTGTTGACCAACGGGCATCGGCTGGTGAGTGCGGTACTATTTCTTCCTTACAGTCAGGGAGTCTCTCACTGGCGGGGGTTCCCATCGGGTCTTAGGGGTTTTTCTGGATCAGTGGGAACAGGGGTCGCATGAGTGCAGGGATTCCCCCTTAGGTGGTCAGCTTTGGTCGGTTTGGTCTTCCGCGCAGCAGCCTCAATTGGTGCGGACTGTGCAAGGGGTCATTTGTTGCCCGTGCCTAGTGTCACTAGTGTTCCTTTGGTGGTGTCGGGATCTACCGCCACTTGTTGCTGTAGGCACAATAATAGGCGGCATTGAGGTTACCATGGCGATGGTCCGCTTATATTGGCTGGGCTGGGCCTCTGGGTTTGCACCTGTCGAAGGAACTTAGAGATACAATTGCAAAGGGAGAATTTGTCAAGATTTTCTCCCTCCTGCCAATGGAGGAGGCTCCTTCACTGGGGGAGAAGGTCGGCAAGGAATCAAAGATCGAGAAAGAACAATCTGTTATTAGATGGTCTCTAGGACTTTTGGAAATTGGATTAGCGCGTTTGCAATCTGGCTAGTGTCATTGGGGAGATGGCACCACAGAAGTGCTCCACATTGTTCTGCTAACACTTGTCGTACCTATTGTGGAAGTGTAACGAGTCAAAGTTTAGCGGTGCACCCATCAATTTTCTGGGACTAGATGGACACGGCCTCTGGCTCCCCATTATGACCCGCACCGGAGCAGGGTGGTTTTTTGTCCTTTCTTGGGGAGGCCAGTGGGGGAGCATCATCCGCCTCCCCTTCCTCGCATCAGAGGTCAGGCTGTTGTTGCACATTTAATGATAGTCATTGTTCATGGAGTATCTCATGCACCAAATTCTCCTCCAATCTCCCGGTGTATCCAACGGGGGCAAGCTAGTGAGAAAGGGGATCTGGGGACTAAGGTGTGCTGCCTGTTAGCCGGACGGTTGGCATGTCTCTAGCCTCACTAGGAATGGGCTCCCAGGGATATCTTCCCCATTCTAGTGGCGTTGGAGGTCCCAGTTTTTCAGGATAAATGGATTGTTTTTCACTGCGGCAATCTAACAGGGTTCAAGCAATTGTCTGACAACCTCCTTCCCTCCAGTAGTTGGCTTGCTGCGATGTTTGGTGCTCTGATGTTTGTCTAGATGTGTCTTAAAGGGCAAAGCATATTCCTGGCATTCACGTTGTAGTGGCGGATACTCTCTATCGTTCACAATGGTCGGGATTTTTGGGCGGTCCCCCCGCGGGTGGATCTGGAAGGGACTCCATGCCCGGTGAAGATGTGGTCGCTTGGTCTGGCAGAATGAGGGATTTGGTCCGTGGGTCAGTCTCCCGGGCCTCGTGGACCTGATACAGTGAAGTGTGGACAGGGTTTATGTATTGTAGTTATCACGTACGCCTAACACGTGAAAGGTCCCTGGTTTGGGACCAGGCAGAAACATCTTTGGGAATGGACAGGTGGGAGCATGCTCCGGATGGTTTTGATGTCTCAACTGACGCCTCTCAGGACTTTAGCTGGGTGTCTGCAGGTAGGTCCCCCTTTGCAATCTCCTCATGTTTTGCGGGTTTTAGCTTCCTGTTCAAGCTATGTGGGTGGGAAGATTCTGCCACGGCGTTCATAGTGTCCAAGGCGCTAACAGGCTTGGTGCGGCATGTTGCTTCCACAGACGCGGGAAGGTCGGTCTACGCTATGCTCCTGACAAGATTGTGTGGGTCTATTACTCAATTTTTGTCTATTTGCTTTGGCCTATTCCCAGGCATTCTTTGGGGCCATGCGCATTGGGAAATTAGGGATTCCTAGTAGGTGATGCAGTGGTGGGGTGTTGTTTGCAGAAGTTTAGTGCTCTGCGGATCATATCGCTATAAAAATTTGACTCTTTGAACCGACCACTAGGGTTAAGTCCGTTATATGTCTGTCCTGGAACGTGGGCCACTGTCCTTATTTTATCAACAATGTCACTTATGGCCTTCCCTTCATCACGGTTCCTGGGCCTGTACCAGAAGCATATATCTGCAAACCATGGAAGGTGCCCCATTTGTACAAGAATACAAGGGGATTAAACAGTGTCAGGTTCAAGGTGTTACAAGTGCCGGGATCACAACTAGATATGGCCGTTATTGTCTGCAGACTCACAGGTAGGGTATCTGATCTATAGGTGTCCCAACCCAAATGACTCCCGTAGGAGCAATAGTTATACCCACCAATGTATGCAATCCCTTATCTTTGAGCACATGCCATCTCAGTACAGATGGACTCAGGTCACTTATTTAATATTAATATCACCACAAACTCAAGATGAGCAGATGACTCTGCTTTGGCATCTCAGCTTCCGGATGTGAGGGCTGCAGGGTAAGGAGTACTTTGGATTCTCTTTGGGTTCACAAGGCCTCCTTTGGGGTCGTTGGCTTTCCATTGATGGCAGGTGATTAGGCATTTTTATGGCCATCAAAACACTTACTTGTTGATATTTTCTCAAACAGGCATCTTTATTCTCTTAAAATGGAGTTTCAAAGGATTGTCAAGATCACCAAACGTTACTTTCCATGGAGCAGAGGTAGGTTTGATTCCTGGAGTGGTAAATCCACGGGATGATCGCGGTGTACTACTTGACGTGTGATCTCTCCCGCTATTTGGTGGAGATCCCCTTTAAGGCCTAGGACAATCGGAGACCAGTAAATTTTGTTGGGGCACTCTTGATCCAGAAAAAGGCAATGGGGAGCAAGACATCCCACTTCTTGGTTTCTTGACACATTTTAGTGAGCTGTAGCTTTAGTGTTCGGTTGATTCGCTCAACTTTTCCTGAGCTTTGAGGCCTACAGGCAATGTGCAGTTCACATTTAAGACTGAGGCTGGAGGAAAACAGAGGCTGGTTGC